CCGACTCCTCCACCGACGCAGCCTCCCTCACAGCCGCTCCCATTTCTCTTGCCATCCCTCTCGCGGGCCGGCAATCGCTGTCGCTTCGTTCTTCGCCATCGCCACCGCCTCCTCATTTCCCTTGCCGCCGCCGGGGCCCTCGGGGGCGGGGCAGTCGCACGCTTCGGACGGGTGGGGGACGGCGTGCACGTGACCGCAAGAAACGCCAGGCACGGTCCGCGTTTCTCGGGCGAATGAATGAAGGCCTGCGTCAGAGTTCCCAGAGACGAGGTGCCACAAGAAAGGAACTTCTATTTTTTGCTTTTTGCATTTTCTGAATTTATTCTAGTTGCGAAAAATACATCCAATGTGTCTGGGAAATTGTAATTGACGCCCCCCAAAAGGAACCAATCATTACATAATACTAATAACTCTCAGAATACGTCCTTACAATATTTCTATTGTTAAATATTTTGTCTAAAAGACATAAGGCAATTCCAGAGGAAACATTTCTAATAAAAGAAAGCGGCTTGAAAATCGCAAATATTCTACAAATGCTATCTTCTTCCAAAATATTCTTTTAGAGAATCTTAGATTATTACATAAAATCTAATATTCTCTTGACTGATTACGTGAAGGCATTTGATTTTTCACAGTGCTCACATATTGGTATAGCTCTACATGCATTTCTCCATGCAGGCGATCAAGTACTTGTTACAAGTTCCAAAAAATTCTCTTCAAAATGCCAGTTTTGATCTCAATGCCCATTGAACATTACAAGTTGCACGCATCTCCCTGCAAATCCAAAGTAATGTCTTTCTGAGGAAACTAGTACCTCCGAATGATAGGTAAGAGAGTTGTACTAGTATATAATACTATATACGGCAATGTATCAAGTCAATAAATAAATGGTCGTTGGCAAGGTAATTGATTTGTTTAACTATTTGAATTTGACAGGAATTTCTAAATCAGCCAAAAAATAAAGCTCGTTGAGCAACAAAAGTAATACCGCACCAGCCTTTATTGTGTATGGAACTGAACATTAGATCACAATCAAAGCAGATAAGATTCTGACTCTGATGGTAACTATATGCTCTCTTACACATGTAGCAGGCGTGCCGAGTGATCAACACAGGCATGTACGATTTGATAATCACACAGTTCAGAATTCATATATAATATATAATTTAAACACTTTGCCCAAAGTATACAGTAAGAACCAAAAAGGCAGAGAAAAAATATTAATGTCTACTAAGATGTATCTTAATACCATAACGGATTTAATCAAGTACCTGCAAGGAGAGGAATGTGGTAGTAACTCTCTGATACTGAGGCATCATTTGCTCAGACTTTCCGAATGTATCCATGCATCTTCCCATGTTAAAAAACACGCAATATCCACATTCATTGACTTATCCATAGCATTTGACAGAGCATCGTACCAAGACCTGATACACAAACTCCAACCAATAGGCACACCCAACTACTGTCTAAAAGTCATAAAATACTTCTTGACAGATAGAACATTTACGGTGAAAGTTGAATATCCAATCAGCGAAACAAAAGCACGCCTACCCCAAGAATCACACTCACCTCCTTTTCCGAAGCACATATACCCACAACAGATATATCCACTACATTGGCCATATTCAACACAATCCGCTGACGACACAATAATCTAGAAGTACAGTTATTCATTTAATCTCAGAAGAAACAAAATACAACAGCAATTAAATAAAATAGACTGGTTGGTTTAATGAAAAATAACGCGGCTAAATAAGGAATTTCTTTTTCCATTCTGTCTATTTTCCATTCCTGCTCACTTCATTTTAACAATAACACAATCTTATAGACCACACAAACCCAAACTCAAATACCTTGAACTGAAATTCATCCCAAAGTAACTTGGAAAACCGAATAATTAAAAACTACAACTCTCAAAAATCATATAAAGTATATAGTAAACAACAAAAGAATACTTTCATTAAACAAATAAATATCCTTAAATAAAGCAATAATTAGACAACTTAAGCTCTATGCCTGCCCAATATGGATAAATGTCTCACAAACAATTATGTATACATCAGCAATGAATAAATAAAAAAAAACAGGATCGTAGACATTAAATGGACCATTTTTATGTATAGTTATTTTTATGAAATTTGTCTCACACACGAGACCTGACAAAAAAAAGTAAGTCCTTCATTTGTGTTCCTGTAATAGCACAGATATCCATGCATGTAATATGAACTGTACACCGAAAAGGATTGGAATTATAATAAATTAATATATTTTTTAATTATAGTGATTTAAATGATACATGGTAAAATTTATAAAAATTAGTCGCGAATGTTTTGGCTTCTGCAAGACATGTATTCTAAAATAATCATCTGGAATATTTTATAAAAACGACAAGAGAAAAGGTGATAATTTGAGTAAATAAACAGTTGAAGCAACATACTTGAACTTGTTTTCTTCCATCTTTGAATGCAAAGGAGTGTATGTTCAAAGCTTTTTATGTTGGAGCAATGTGCTAATTTTAGGTAGCAACCTTGATGAGAAAGAGCAGATTACATCTTGCTACAGTAAACCTCAAAAAATTGAACGTTAGATTTCGAACTCCTTTTTTCTCCGTTCCTACATTACCGGACTCATACATACTATTCGGTATATCAAATTTTATTTTGAAATACTGTTTATTTTGAAAATTTGTTAATACAAACCTTCCTCCCTTCCTTCCTTTTAATACATGCGTTAAAAGATAAAGCTATCATAAAGGGTTCATAAAGGTTCTATTAACAAAAGTGCTAAAATATTAGTAGAGAAATAATTCTTAACTTAACATTGTAAAAACTAGGCTATAAATTGTATATTCTTCAAATCAACGTGATCGAAGGTGAAAAATAAATAAAATTGAGTTTTCTTCAATAAAGAAGCCAATATTAGTTAGAATAATCGAATCCCGAAACCCAAGCTTCGTTCATTATTCTTATTATTTTTTAACTTTATTTTGTTAGTAGCTCTCAATTAAAATGAAAAAATAGAATATGATATCACATTCAAATTAAATCCCTCCCGCGTGATCTCCAATGATTACTAACCCAAATTGAAAAAATCTTTAAAAATATCTACGTTTTTGCGTCAATGTTATTTACATCCCTGTTTTAATTTTGAGCATCGATATTTAGAAACATCCAGGTTTTGTCGAATTAGTATGCGACTTAACAAAAATTGGTATCCATTTAATTTATAAATTTTATAATAAATAGGTTCTATATACATCAAATTGATTATTGTATCTACTATGAAGCACGTCATTCTTTTGTATTAATTCATAACAACGGACTAAGGAAATAAATAAATTTTAAAAATCTTTAAGTATTAACTAAAACTTTTAATATGTTACTATAATATTAATTAAGTAAAAACCACAGAAGTTGCTTTTGTAATAAGACATAAAAATTAAGATAATTTTGGGTATAATTGGCGGAGAAATGGATAACTTTACACGAAGTATGAAGTAGAAGTCGAACCGATGTGCTTTTAACTCTAGTAACTTTACTGCTCCTTTGAAATGAATGATTTTACACATTGTTGCGTGTGATTTATTTATCCTTTTATCAGATCATTTATATACCTGTATAAATTGTTCTGAAATACTATTCTTTTAATTTCGTGAAGAGTATGAACAATAAATATGGTAGATCGCTGTGTCGCATGCATTTAAAGTGCCGTGGATTTAAGGTGGCTGGGAAAATATTGAACTGAATGAAGTACACACTGCAGGTCCAAGAATGCTAACCTGCGATACTCATGATATTGGATGAAACTAGGTCGATTATTTGCCGAATGTGAGTTGAAATAGCCTTTCTGTAGTGAACATTCGAACTATGTTATGGAATACATTTACAGTTCATAGAATGCTATATTATGTTATGGAATGTGTTATGGAATACGGAGTGCATACAGCAGATATTTCTATTGATTTTGTTTAGACGACCTAGGTGCACGGTTATCGAATTATTGAAATAGTTGAAACAGTTACAAAATATATCTTTGGAACAAAAGAAACATTGATATAAAATCGGAAGTATATGTATTTTCATTCGAAAATTGTGAAATCGAGTTATTTAAGTAATTATTTTTAAACTTTACTGGCATTATATTATAAACGTGAATTTTCCATAAAACACTCGTTCATAACTTCTCAAAAAGTTTCACTTGCTCTCTTACTGGCAAATCGTCTCATTAAATTTCAACGCCAAGGGGTGTTAAATTTTCTTAATCGCTCGACCTCGCATACTCAATAAACTCTTCTGTTTTGTTCACAAGAGTTTCTTATAGGTTAAGACACTCCAGATGCCAAGTTATAGTAACGGCATTGCTGTAGCAACTCGTCTACTGCACTCTTATTGTAAAGGGAATTGTTCTTTCCTAAATAAAATGTACATTATAAAAATATCTCCAAATGTTTGTTTAAAACGGAGTTGGCGAACTATTTTTTCGTGAAGCTATGAAAATAACACTAACTTTTCAGTAAAATATTGTACGCCAAATTCGATAGTTGGTAAAAATATGTCACCACTTGCTTAATTCATCTGGAAGTAAGCTGAGCTTCTGCTTTCGCCCGTAGCAAATTATTAGTCCAGTCCGACGCGAGCTTCTTATTAAAGCGCAAATGCCAATAATAGGAACAGGAAACATCAGCTCTATTATATTCATTTGATATCGACGTTCTTTTCCTTATCCATGGGAAAACCAAAAAACTTATTGATCTGTCAACTGCACGTGCACGTAGTATATTTCAATCCTGTTTCCTCGCGTATATTGTCCCGATTGAGAAAGACTGCAGACACGAAACGAGAAGTATTTCCGTCGCGGCTTGACGTGCACAATCATTGCTCCTTCAAAAGAAAAAAACGACAGAGCGCGCGTCCGTATTTTTAACCCTTTGGCTGTTTCTGTCGGTTGGGCAGAGTTAAAATTATGCACCGCTGCCAAGCGCACCAGGGTCCGACGTCGGCGGGAGCACCAGGTGATTGGGAATGACAAGAGCCCTCCTCCTCCCCGCCCGCCTGCGTCCAACGGAAAGCCCACCCCACCCCACCTCATCCCACCGCACGCCGCTCCACCGCCGACCCCCTGCCAACAGGCCGCAACCAACGAGCGGCGGACGAATCTACAATTTCTACGCCCATGGGGTGGCGTGCAATTTTCATCACGCATGCCGAGCACGGCCCGATAGTTCCCAAAAATCAATAGGAACGTGCAGCAAATTTTCAAAAATCTAGCCCGGAGGAGGGGGAACCCATTTCACAACTCCAGCGCTACCATCGGCGATCCGGAGAACTACCTGCGGGCCGGGGCTGAGCGACGACGGTTCCCTTTGTGGCGCTGCGTTCTAACTGCTGCGAGCACAGCGCTATCTAACCGTCGCAGTGATAACTACGTCGCAAACCGTCGTTCCGTACGTCGCCGCGGGGAACGCGGTAATTCAAAACAGTAAATAGAGTGGTTGCAGGTTAATTGTACTGTTTGCACACGAATTACTGACTCCAGAGACTACCTCCCTGATACAATATGAAGGAGACTACAAAGTGAATATCTAGCATTGTTGGGAATAGTGTGAACAATACATTATAGCTTCTACGTAAAACTATATTTGGCACGGCAAACGAGCTATACCTTTTATTTGATAGAACTGTCATGGAAATAACTGAACTACACTCTCTTTCACACCTAGGTATTTGATAAATATAAAACGTGAGTAGGTAGTAAATTATTTCAATTACAATAAATAACACTTAAGGTCCCAAACTTAATAATATAGATTTAGAACACGCAATATAGTTAACACAATTTACACATTAGGGTAATGAACCGGTTCTTAAGAATCACTGTTCTGGCATTGTCATTGCTTATAGTTCGTGTAACACCGATCGTAGGTTAAAAATAAAAAAAGAATATAGGGGAAATTATTCGAGACTACATTGCACTTATCTTAAAATTATATACAATTAATTTAACAAATAGTGAACACTAGTGGCCTGTCGCCAAAGAATGTTGCGAACGAGTGTGCGGAAACTTGGATCTATGGAAATAATGACAAATGCAGCAACAGCAACATAGAATAATTATATCGTACATACAAACGACGCGCGTAAATACCGAATTGCCGATCATATATTTTCTCGTTGCATGACGTCAGCTGTGACGTAACCAGTGTTCACTGAGTATGAGGATGTAGTCGTTACATCAGACATCAGGGTTGAAGAATCTGGGAAGTACCATTGTCAAATACCACCATTTTTCAGTCAAAAACGAAGCTGTTTTATTGTTTTTGGATTTTCCGGAGCTCTTGTGTATCTGACGAAATCGCTAGCACCTCTCGATTGTCTCGAAGCTGCTCAGTTTCCCGTCAATTTATGAGCATATTTTAAATTAGTAACATAGGATAAACGAAATTACATCATCAAAATTTCACAGAAAGAAACGAGTACAAAACATCGAGACACAGAAATAAATAGAAATTAATATATGTAAAAGTCATTTTCACTTACCTTCCCAATTCAGTAATTCAGCTTTCCGGGATGATGGGTGGTGCGACTTCCAACACAATCTGCAACAAATGAAGATAAATTAGAAAACTGCGAAATTCCGTTCATTTATCAGTGTTTAGGGCTCCTTCAAGTTCTAAGGCCATTGTGATCCACGAGTGATAATAATCTAATAGACAATGATAGCTATCACCAGGAGCTGAAAAATTAAGGAAAATTGATGGCATGAGAATGGGAGAAAGGGAAAAGGCATGTAGAACCATATTCCATTTTTCTATGACATTCTTAAAGCCACATTTGAATTCTACTATAAAGAGACAAACAACTTGGGAAAACTTTAAAAAAATATGCGTATATTTTTGATAAAATGCAATTTTCTCACTGTAAATATTAGATGAAAATAAATTAAACCATTTTTTAATTGTTATATACTGTAATATGAATGCTGTAATTATTATGGCTTAATTTTAATATCATTGAGGGAAGTTGAAAGTATTGGAATTAATAAACGGGAAGAGAAAACGCGGTGGAAAGTAGGATATTAAGAAACTGTGATCAGGTATTTCGATAAAAAGGAGGGAAAGAAGCTTCTGTGAACTGTTTGATTTTTTTAGAAAACGTAGAGTAGTAGAATGGACTAAATGGACTTGATATCTTTGGTGAGTTTCGTTTGCTTTTGTTCAGTGACAAATGTCAGCTATTTGTTTGTTTCGTTCAGGTTGCTGTTTTATTTTTTTAAATATCCCATTTCAATTTAACTGTCACCAAGAAAACAAGAAGATAGGGCATATTAGTAGATAGTTTCTTTTATCAATTTTTATTTTTTGTTAATATTTGTTATTTAGTTAAATGAACCTAGGATTTGTTTTTACTAGTCATTATTACCAATACGATTACTGAATTTTCATCATATACTACGCACAGAAAAAAGCTGCACATTATAAAAGGATGAGAAAATAATACAAGTTTGTTCTCTTTCCAATTTATGATCCCTAAAATCCTTTTCCCTTTATTTTGAATTTATCAGAAATAATAATTATAACTCAATGAATCTTATCATTTTTTGAGCTACTGAATAAATAATTAAATCCCATGCATTTAAATTATATTTCCCTTGCTTAATATAGTAATACTGAATATTCCATCATAATGGAGTTTGAGCTTAGGGTTTTAAGTCATTTTAGCCATGGAAGTATTTAGTATGAAAACCAATTTTCAAGATATTAGTTGCAATTTTCAAAAAATTTGAATTTGATGACAAGACACGAGTTCTGTACAATTCTATTAAGCATCCTTCACGGTATCCGAAGACAAAGTTTGATCCCAACATTTGGTGATATTTTTGAGGAAGTTTTAATATTTTTTTAGGCTGTGTGTAAAGAACCCTCAAAAATCAAAATATACTTTTGAAAGTCCCAAAACCTTGAATTCATTTAGATCAATTTTGAACCATTAACATCAAATTTTTGAACATCAATTTTGAAGAAAATCGGCTGAATGATTGAGGCGTTAGCATTGACCACAGAACGACAGACAACCGTTTTTCGGTATCAAGAACAAGCTAAACACGGATTATGGCTTCACCACGAGTTAAATGATTTTTTCTATACTTAGCAACAGGATTCATCCACTTTGTCGTTACCAGGGCCCATCAATCATCATTTTTAGTCTCTACCGAGTATTTCTGCCCAGGTACTTTTTTTACGAAGAAGCTTCGTTACGAAGTACCTTCGTAAGGGCGAGAAAGTAAAAATCAAACGCTGTAACTCAAAGTAAAACTTTTAATATTTCGAAAATGTGCACACTAAACGATTTAAGGTGTAATATTGAAATATAGATTGCACAAAAATGAACCGCTACATTCAATATTGAAAACATACGAAAAAAATGAACTTCGTCAAACCCGTAACTCAAAATCACGCAAAAACTACTAATGTTTGGAAAAAATGTATCTTTTATGGTTTAAAAATCTAATATTCAAGAATAGGTTTCATTAAGAATTTTTTATCTTCAATATTGAAGGTGTATGACAGTTTCCGGAAGTTTCAGAATTTTAATTAAAGTTGGGCGAGTCATATCTATAAACTAATACCATATTATCTATAAACTATGCTCATTCCCCTTGGAAATATTAACTTAGAGCCATTTTGAGAATATTTTGAGAATGTCGAAGGAAATTCATTTGTAATATCATCCAAAATTAGATTTTTTCAAAGGAAATCCTGACTGCAGATCAAGCGTGAAAGCATGTTAAAGAGAACGAAAAGACGATAAAAAAATAGTGGCATCAGGGACACCAAAAATTTGTTTACGTGAAAATTTTGACTAGTATATTTTTTTAGCTTTACTCTACTTCCTCTACCCAACGTATACGAAATGTTGCCTTAGCAAATGAGACAAATATAGTTTCGGAGCATTTTACGAAAGATAATTCCACCAAAGAATAGTAATAAAAGTTGAGAAGTTACAGGGATACAAAATGTACGTTTGTTGACGATAAAGAATCCCATCCCTTCCCATCCCTTCCCATCCCTTCCCATCCCTTCCCATCCCTTCCCATCCCTTCCCCTTCCCATCCCTTCCAATCCCATTCCCGTTCCCATCCCTTCCCCATCCCATCCAATCCCATCCCATCCCATCCAACCCATTCCAATCCCATCCAATTCCCATCCAATTCCCATCCAATCCCATCCATTCCCATCAATCCCATCCAATCCCATCCAAATCCTTCCAATCCCTTCCAATTTCCCTTCCAATCCCTTCCAAGCCCTTCCAATCCCTTCAATCCCTTCCAATCCCTTCCAATCCCTTCCATCCCTTCAATCCCTTCCAATCCCTTCCAATCCCTTCCCAATCCTTCAATCCCTTCCAAATCCCTTCCATCCCTTCCAATCCCTTCCAATCCCTTCCAATCCCTTCCAATCCCTTCCAATCCCTTCCAATCCCTTCCAAATCCCTTCCAATTCCCTTCCAATCCCTTCCAATCCCCTTCCAATCCCTTCCAGTCCCTTCCAATCCTCCATCCCTTCCAATCCCTTCCAATCCCTGCCAATCCCTTCCATCCCTCCAACCCTTCCAATCCCTTCCAAATCCCTTCCATCCCTTACCAATCCCTTCCAATCCCTTCCAATTCCCTTCAATCCCTCGCAAATCCCTTCCAATCCCCGTTTTCCAAATCCCTTTCCAATCCCTTCCAACCCTTCCAAAATCCCGTTCCAAATCCCTTCCAATCCTGCCAAATCCCTTCCAATCCCTTCCAATCCCTTCCAAATCCCTTCCAATCCCTTCCAATCCCTTCCAATCCCTTCCAAATCCCTTGCAACCCTTCCAATCCCTTCAATCCCTTCAATCCTTCCAATTCCCTTCCAATCCCTTCCAATCCCTTTCCAATCCCTTCCAATCCTTCCAATCCCTCCAATCCCTTCCAATCCCTTTCAATCCCTGTCCAATCCTTCAATCCCTTACCAATCCCTTCCAATCCCTTCCAATCCCTTCCAATCCCTTCCAATCCCTTCCAATTCCCTTCCAATCCCTTCCAATCCCTCCAATCCCTTCCAATCCCTTCCAATCCCTTCCAAGCCACTCATCCCTTCCAACCCTTCGAATCCAATCCTTCAATCCCTTCCAATCCCTTCCAATGCCCGCCATCGTCCCAATCCTCGCAACCGTTCGCAACTCTCCCTTCCAATCCGCTTCCAATCCGCTCCAATCCCATCTTCAATCCTTCCTCCCTCGAATCCCTTCGCAATCCCTTCCAATCCCTTCCACTATTCTCCATTATCCCTCAATCCCTTCCAATCCCTTATCCTTCAGATCCCTTTCCTCAAGTCCCTTCCGAGAGCTCGAATCCCTTCCAATCCCTTGCCAATCCCTTCCAATCCCTTCCAATCCCTTCCAATCCCTCCAATCCCTGTCCAATCCCTTTTCAATCGCCTTTCAATCCGCTTTCAATCCTTTCAATCCCTTCAATCCCTTTCAGATCCCTTTCAATCCCTGTTCAATCCCTTTTCATCCCTTTCGAATCCCTTCGAATCCCTTTCAATTCCTTTTTCAATCCCTTTCAATCCCTTTCAATCCCTTCAATCCCTTTCAATCCCTTTGCAGATCCCTTGGCCAATCCCTGTTCAATTCCCTGTTCATGCCCTTTCAAATGCCCTTTTCAATCCTTTCAATCCCTTTCAATCCCTTTCAATCCCTTCCAATCCCTTCCAAATCCTGTCCAAATCCCTTTCCAAATCCCTGTCCGGAATCCCTTCCAAGTCCTTGGCCAATCCCTTGCCGAATCCGCTTCCGAATCCTTTCAATCCTTTCAATCCCTTTCAAATCCCTTTCAAATCCGCCTCCAATCCCTTTCGAAGTCCCCCTCCAGATCCCCTCGCAATTCCCCTCCAATCCCCTTTCCAAACCCCTGCAATCCCGCTCCAATCCCAGCTCCAGATCCCCCAATCCCCATCCAATCCCTCCAATCCCCTCCAAATCCCGCCGAATCCCCTCCAATCCCTCCAATCCCCTCCAATCCCCTCCAATCCCCTCCAATCCCCTCCAATCCCCTCCATGCCGCCTCCAAGTCCCCTCCAATCCCCTCCAATCCCCTCCAATCCCCTCGCCAATCCCCTCCAAATCCCCTCCAATCCCTCCAATCCCCTCCGATCCCCTCCAATCCCCTCCAATCCCCTCCAATCCCCTCCAATCCCCTCCAAATCCCTCCAATCCCCTCCAATCCCTCCAATCCCCTCCAATCCCCTCAATCCCCTCCCAATCCCCTGCAATCCCTCCAATCCCCTCCATATCCCCTCCAATCCCTCCAATTCCCCTCCCAATCCCTCCAATCCCTCAATCCCCTCCAATCCCCTCCAATCCCCTCCAATGCCCCTCCAATCCCTCCAAGCCCTCCAATCCCCTCAATCCCCGTCCAACCCCTCCAATCCCCTCCAATCCCCGTCCAATCCCCTCGCATCCCCTCCCAATCCCCTTCCAGATCCCCTCCAGATCCCCTCCAATCCGCCTCCGAATCCCCCATCCAGATCCCCTCCAGATCGCCCTCCAATCCCCTCCAGATCCCTCCAATCCGCCTCCAATCCCCGTCCATCCCCTTCCAATTCCCCTCCATCCCCAAATCCCCTCAATCCCTCCAATCCCCTCCAATCCCCTCCAATCCCTCCAATCGCCCTCCAATTCCCTCCGAATCCCCTCCAATCCCTCCAATCCCCTCCAATCCCCTCCAATCCCGCCAATCCCCTCCAATCCCCTCCATCCCCTCCAATCCCCTCCAATTCCCCTCCAATCCCCTCGCAATCCCTCCGAATCCCTGTCCGAAGAGTTGCCTCTTCCAATCCCTTCCAAATCCCTTCCAATCCCCTCTCCAATCCCTTCCAATCCCTTCCAATCCCTTCCAATCCCTTCGCAATCCCTTCCAATGCCCTGTCCAATCGCCTCCGAATCCCTTCCAATCCCTTCCAATCCCTTCAATCCCTTCCAATCCCTTCAATCCCTTCCGAATCCCTTCCAAATCCCTGTCCAATCCTTCCAATCCCTTCAATCCCTTTCATTCCCTTCCAATCCCTTCCCAATCCCTTCCAATCCCTTCCAAATCCTTGCCAGACTCCCTTCAACCCTGTCAATCCCTTCCCAATCCCTTCCAATCCCTTTCAATCCCTTCCAATGGCCCTTTCTCAATCCCTTCGCGAATCCCTGGTCCCAATTCCCTTCCGAATTTCCCTTCCAATCCCTTCCAATCCCTTCCGAATCCCTTCCAATCCCTTCAATCCCTTCCAATTCCCTTTCAATCCCTTCAATCCCCTTTCAATCCCTGTCAATCTCATAACCTTTCAATCCCTTTCAATCCGCTCTTCAATCCCTTCGAATCTCCTTCAATCTCCTTTCATCCCTTTCAATCCCTTTTCAATCCCTTTCAATCCCTTTCAATCCCTTTCCAACTCCCTTCCAATACCCTTCCAATCCCATCTTTCAATCCCTTTCAAGTCCCTTTCAATCCCTGTTCAAGATCCCTTCAATTCCCGTTCAATCCCTTTTCAATCCCTGTCAATCCCTTTCAATCCCTTTCAATCCCTTCAATGCCTTTCAAATTCCCTTCAATCCCTTCTATCTCTCTAATCCCTTTCGAATCCCTTTCAATCCCTTTCAATCCTTTCAAATCCGCTTTCAATCCCGTTCAATCCTTTTCAATCCCTTTCAATCCCTTTCAATCCCTTTCAATTCCTTTCAAGATCCCGTCCAATCCGGCTTTTCAATCCCTTTCAATCACTTTCAATCCCTTTCCAAATCCCTTTCAATCCCTTTCAATCCCTCTTTCAATCCGCTTTCAAATCCCTTTTCAATCCCTTTCAATTCCCTGTTTCAATCCCTTTCAATCCCTTTCAATTCCCTTCAATCCCTTTCAAAATCCCTTTCAATCCCTTCCGAATCCCTTCCATCCCTTCCAATCCCTTATCCAATCCCTCCGACTTCTCCCTTCCATTCGTCATCTCCATCCCATCCAGATCTCATTCCATCTGCATCCAATGCGCGTTCCATCTCATCCAATCCCGTTCATCCCATCTAATCCGCATTTCTATCCGTATCCCACCAAACCAAATCCATCCCATGCCTGAAAATCTCGATTCCATTCCATCCCATTCCAGATGCCCATTCCATTCCATCCCAGTCCAATTCCATTTCATCCCATCCAATCCCATTTCATCCCATCCAATCCCCATTCCACCCATGCCAGAACCCGTCCATCCAAATCTAGTCAATTGCGTTCCAAAACGAATATTAAATAAGAAAAAAATATGTCGTTTTATAAATAATAGTGAACGATTAATATTTTATTTAAAAATTTATCATTGTTTGTTGGTATGGTGGATACAATACTGGTCAAGTCAAAGCACAATATTTTTTGAATATACCAATATTTTCGCTGGATATGTCTGCCTATGTTCTAATGTTTTGAAATGGTCAACAAGGAAAGAAACACAAAAACAAATATATCTTACACGTCAATCGATGTTTCACTTGTCAACATGTGCAACTTGATTGGTAGCTTTGGCACGTACTTCAGATTCACTAACATGCTATAATCTCTTTCTCATCTAATTTTTTGAAGTAATGACAGCTTTGGAGACACGGACGGAGGAATACACCACACGATTTCACACACGGATTAAAGGACTACAGTTATATTTAATAAACATTGCTGCAGGAAGCTCATTTCGTCCTCGGAAAAACAGGATATCAATAATCAGACGTCAACCGAACGGAACCACGCTCCATCGAACCGTACGCCAAGGTAAACAGACAAAATCTCACGAACTACAAGTCGATTTGTTTCCCAGCGTCGATGTTTATGACAACTTCGAGCCAGCTGTCGTGACCTCGGCGAAGTGGAAGCAAAAAAATAATGGAGAAGTACAACCGTACCTGTTGTGTACCTGCCGCGTCGAGAGTTCGAATTCCAGATCGCTCCATCTCCTTGAGGCGACAATTGGTACAGTGGAGAGCTATTCAGTCAAGTATTGCTGCTCGTGTATAAGAAATATAGTATCAATTGTTCAACGCTCTCCTCAGAACGTGGACATATAGACAGAAAAACGCATGCTACTCAATTCAATTTTTAACCCAACTCAGTTTTGTTAGTTAGACATCACAATGGCGGTTGTGACAACGGAACGAGAAGAAAGTCGTTGAGAGAGTTGCGAGTTAAATTTGTTGGCCTTTGATTCTTGTGAAACTGGCAATCCATGCAGTGAAGGGTGATTTAGTTAGCGATGCTGAGTAAAGGCCTCTTCTCTGGAAAATATCGAACTACGACTCCTCTGTGAAAACGACGCGGATGTAATCACAGAAAATATCATGCATTTCTCAAACACGTTTCTGTCGAGGCCGCCATAGTTGGGTAACAAAGCGTAGGGATAGTTGAAGTTCGACTCGAATTCCGGGGTAGCGAAGCACTCGAATTCCGGGGTTCGATGCGAATTCCGGGGAAGCACTTGTAGTTCGTTAAATCTTGTGTAGTTGATTATAGATGCAAAATTTCGTAAATTCTGCCAGCGAGATGCGACAAACAGAACTGTCTCTAGAAATCACAAAAACAATAATCAA